AGCATTGTGCGCCTTCTCTTGCCTGGATCAGCAACCTTAGCACCGTGTGGAATTCGAGGATCAGTAATTCAGATTTCTCCTTTCTTGCAAGGACTATCCTTCCATTCAATCCCTGGCCATTGCTGTTGAAGTTGCTTAGGATTAGGGTTCATCCTCTCGCCACTTCTGATATTCAGCAATCTTGTGGCGGAACCCAGTGATTATCTCTGTGCAGTTGCCTTCGTCTTCGTCATCCCAACTGACACTTCCCTGAACCATCTCAATTCCATGCCCATGGTGTACCGCGCGTTTGATATTCAGATCAATGTGTCGGAATTTGCCTTGAGGATTCTGTGCATTGGCTGACTTAGTGTAGTATGGATAGGAAATCACGGTCGGTTGTCGTCGAATCATTAGGTAGAACAAGTAGTATTCCAAGTCCCCTCGAATCAGTCCTTGGAACAAGGAATGATACATGATACTCCCCCATCCCAAATTTAATCGTCTATTGATTCTTCGCACGTGGTAGTCGTACATTCGATCGTGTTCTTAATGCTCGTGGGGTTGATGGTGTCGATGGTGGTTGGTTTGACGCCATAGTTTCTTGGTTCGATTCGTGTTTTCAAGAAAGGGAATAGAGAACTCGGTTTCCTGGGGGCGGGTGGGGGATTATATCTGCCTGCCTCACCGCGTTTTCCATGTTTAATTGTTGAACGAGAACAATCAACCCACCGCCTTTCGTTTGTATTCTAACTTCACTTTTTCGACTCTTCACTTTTTCGACTCTTCACTTTTTCGACTCTTCACTTTTTCGACTCTTCACTTTTTCGACTCTTCACTTTTTCGACTCTTCTCTTCTTTACTGGTCTGTCGCGCCCACCGCCGCTATATAGACCCGCTTTTTGCAAATGCCAGTGTAGTTAATTGGCTATTACTGTTGATTGGCTGTTCGCACTGACGACCAGCAACAACTATTCCCTTCATCATTTCTTTCTATCGTTCTTCTTGGGTTTTTCGCGACCATTTATATTAGTATTGGTGGTCGCGTTGCGTCGTCCAATAGGGATTTGGCAGGGTAGTCGGTTAGCGGTACCCTGTGAAATCTGATTGGCTAGACGCGTCGGCGTTTTCTCGGTTAATCCTCTTCCACCTTAAGAACGTTGCACAGAGTTTCGATCGACATATCCCTCTATAGACAGCACCATTCCTCCCTAGGTTTAAAAGAGTCGTCCCTTGGCTCTTAGTCGTTTGACTCTGCATCTGATTCGGCATGGAATGTTTGATATTGAGAAAGATCTATGCTGTGGTCCGGGATGATAACCTTCGGGTGTCGATTATTAGGATGGTTCTCTGTGAGAGTGTCCAGTTGCTGTTCCTGAATGTCTGCTGAAGAAT